CATTCGCCTTCGAGGCCCATCGACCGCGGGTCTTCTTCATCGCTCAGGGCGACTCCTCGACAGGCATTTACCAGCAGAATATCCGGGAGCTGGGTGAGCTGTGCCGGAAATACGATTGCTTCCTCGTGGTGGACACGGTGGCCTCTCTGGGTGGCGCCGAGTTCCTGATGGACGAGTGGAAGGTGGATGTGGCGTATACCGGTTCCCAGAAATGCCTCGGTGGTCCCGCCGGAATCACCCCCATTTCGTTCAGCAAACGCGCCCTAACGCGCATCCGGAAGAGGAAGACCAAGCCGAAGGTGTACTACTTCGACATCCTGCTGATTGGCCAGTACTGGGGTTGCTACGGCACCCCAAGGATCTATCATCACACCATTTCATCCACTTTGCTGTACGGACTGCGTGAGGCACTGGCCCACTTTTGTGCCGTGGGCCTGAAGGCGGTGGTCCGGCGGCATCAGGAGTGCTCCAAGCGGCTGCAGTTGGGCATCGAGGAGCTGGGCTTGGAGATGTTTGTCCAGCGGGAGGAGGAGCGATTGTCCACGGTGAACACGATCAAAGTGCCCTTCGGCGTGGACTGGAAAAAGGTGGCCGAATACGCCATGCGCAAGTGAGTAATATAATATTTCTTATAATTTTAAATAAATATTAATTTAAAACGACGAATGCCTTTAGGTACAGCGTGGAGATCAGCGGCGGACTGGGTCCCACCGTGGAGCACGTCTTTCGGATCGGTTTGATGGGCGAGAACGCCACCGTAGAGCGCGTGGACATGGTGCTCAGCATCCTGAACGAGGCCATCCAGAGCAGCAAGTTGGGGATCAAGACGGAACGCTCAAAAATATAATCACCTCTAGTTGTACGCCCTTGTTTTTATTGGTTTTTAAATAAAATATAAAAATTAACGTTTGAACTTGGCGCCAATCCTCAAGGCTCCATTTGATTATTTTTTTGAGATCGATAACTGGTTTTTAGTATTTTTTTTGAAATATTCCGAATCAAGAGGGAATACCCAAAAATGTTACAAATGTTATTTTCACTTGTTGTAACTAGTTTTTAAAGAATATTAAAAATATATCGCCGATTAACGAATGTAATCAGTGGTGCTGCCAGATCTGATCATCAGTGTTTCATTTTTCTCGTTACAGATCGATACATTTTAGTATTTTAAATATGAAATTAGTATTATTAAATAATGAAACCTGAAATCCTAATAATAATATACTTGAATATCGAAATTTCAAGTGTCTAACTTCCTGATGTGCCACCTCCATATTTATATATTCCTTACATACAGTACTGAGGACAAGACAATTCATATTTGGATAGTACATATATTTTGTAGCCATCAAGAAAACGATGTTATAAACAATCGGATGTTGCTTAAAGCCTTCCAGGGACGAAAACCAAACTTCGGCAATCGCCTCATCAGTATTCCCATCATATGTATAAGCTCCACAAATCATCCAGATTACATCTCGTCTTCTAAGCACAATTTTGCGTTCCCCAGCCAATTTGAAATCCAACGTGGAGAGTTCTCGGCGGAAAACAAAGTGCGACATGGGGATACAACTTAGATTTATTGAACGCCGATGCGACATCGGCTCGTCCAAGCACTCTCACAGACACTTCGATAAAAAAAACAAAAAAAATTGTACACTTAAATGTTTATTTGTTATCAAACTCAGTGGGCGCTCATGGCCCAAATCATTTCATCCATCATGTGTACTTAAAAGTCTCCACCATCGGATCGGCTTCAGATTGAATCAACCCTGCTTCTGAGCCAGCTCGCGGGCCTTGGCGCGCTCCAGCTTGGAGATGCGGGCCAGACTCTTGGAGCCGAGGATGCCACCGCCCCAGTGACGACGGATCTCCTCGTGGCGCTCGTTGAAGTTGGTCTTGACGGCCTCCAGGACCTTGCCGAAGTTGGCCTTGTCGTTGTTGTCGACGGTGGTCAGGGCGAGGGTGGTGCAGGTCTTGCGACGCACCAGGCGACCCAGACGAGCCTTGCCCTTCACAATGCAGTAGGGCACGCCCATCTTGCGGCAGAGGGCGGGCAGGAAGAGCACAAGCTGGAAAACATTCGGGAAAATATGGTGTACGCATTAGTTGGTGTCTTGTAAGACCACGTGGTCGGGATCCGGTTTCTTCTTTGATTTCGTCAAGTTGCCCTTAGTTCCTTGGCTATAAAGTATGTAGCATAATCTCTTGGTTGTTCACAAGCTAAGCTTTCAAGGTTGCTCTATCACGAAGTCTAAACTAAGCGGGGTTTAACAGGCCTATCAATGATTTCTGAGAAAAAATATACCTTCACATTATTAAACTATGAACTTAAGGCATAAAATAAGATGAAATATAAGGTTTTTCCTTAAAGCCTAACTAATTACAATGCAATTGTGTTTAATTCAGCTTATTATCCCACCCTAGCTTTGTATCCAATTAAGAGATAAGTACATTTTATAAAGGAATTAAAGAATCAGGCGTCAAATCTCCACATGGCAGCTTCCCTCCTCTCAAAAGAGAGCGGGATGCCTTCAGTTGAAGAAATTCAGTTTAACATCATTGCAACAAAAAGAAAAACCAGTGCAAACTTAATCTGAGTACTAGAACTACCAAAACACTCACCTCCAAAGGATCAACATCGTGGGCAATGACCACCAGCTGGGCCTTCTTCTGCTCGATGAGCTTGGTGACCGTGTTGGTACCAGCGGACACGTAGCTGGGCTTCTTCTTGGGCTCCACATCCTTGCCCTTGGCCTTGGCCTCGGCGATCTTCTTCAAGCGCTGCTTCTTAGCCAGCGGCGACTCGGGGCGGTACTTCTCCAGCAGCTTGAACAGCTTCACGGCGGTGGTCTTGTCCAGAGTCTGGCTGAACTGGTGAATTGGTGGGGGGACCTTCAGGCGCTTCTGGAGCACAGCCTTCTGGCGCTGGACCCGGATGTATTTGGGCCAACGGACGAAGCGGGACAGATCGCGCTTGGGCTGCACGTTCTGGCCTGAAGAGTGAAGGGATCAAGAAGATTACAAGATGGTTTAAATTGGGGTTATAATACAAACTATTGGTATTCAAGACTATTTACTAAAATGAAGATTTACAATATGGAAGGAGTTCTGGCTAATATTGTTACATTAATATACACAATATTTTCTATTTGATTCGATTTTTAGATATCAAGCTTTGCGGTTTATACTACTTATCTATAGTAGCCTTTACAAAAGGCCCTATAACTTCAAAACTAATGGGAATATCGCTATACGAAAACCCTTGAAATAATCTGTTGATATATGATATACTATAGATATAATCACTCACCGATTCCAAAGTTCTTGGGACGCTTCTCGAACAGCTGGTTGACAACCTTCTTGACCACGGGCTTCTTGACAGCCAGAGGTGCTGGAGCCACCTTCTTGGTCACTGGCTTCTTCTTTGGCCTGGGCTGAAATTTAAATTTCATTAGTTATTTAATAAAATGAATACTTGCAGACAATGCAAGTGGCCATCACTTACCTTCTTAACAACCATTTTCAAGCGGTTTAAAGGTTACTACCGGAATAAGCAGATGCTTAATTAGCTAAAAGAGATTTAAGTATATCGTTAGTTTTCAACTCGAGAATTGTTGGAGAGCACGAAAAATTGAAACCGGCCAGCAAAACACGTGCAAACAAAAATGAAGAAAAAAAAACCTTGTGTGTGTGTGTGATAAATCGAGTGTAAACAACAAGTAATTCAGCAGATATTTCAACTAGAACTACAGTGTTTCAATGATTTCAATTCATTTACTTTAGATTAAGTAGCTTTTAGGTTTCTCTTTATCAACACTTTTTCACAAATCACACACACAAACTCCACCTCACACATGCACAAAAACATGCCGCAACGCACGTTTTTTGTTCAATTTAGTTTGAATTTGTCTTATTTCACGAGAAAAAAAGATTGGCAGGGCGTATGATCCGCTCCATGTGTTGTTTACACTTTGTTTTTCAAGTATCACATTTAATTCTGGCCTTTCGGCCCACAGTAAAAAAATTACTTATAAAAAAAATAAGGTTTTGCACACTATTTCGCTGGCCACGCAAGTTTCCGTGGAATCCTGGACTTCTGGCTTTTACCTGGGATTAACACGACCACGAACGTATCGAAATACTCGCTGCAAGTAAAATAAAAAGAGGTTTTTAAGTACAAAACTCGGAGGCAGCTCGTTAGGCACATGCACTCACCGGAAACGTGGAACGGAAAAGAAAGGAAATGGCAGTTCTAGTGTTAGAAATCGAGTCGATTTAAGGTGGCCGAGTGGAATCGACGACCTAATCTCGAAAAATACCAGAAATAAGTGAGAAAAATACCAAATCTTGAATAACCGCCAGTGCTGGAAATCGAGTCAAAGCAATCGGAGATATAAACTAGCTACAAAAAATAAGCCATTACATTTTCGCAGAGCTTATCCATCCGTTAATGTAAGCAAATAACTAAAGCAATAAATGCATATGACTTTTGTTAAACAAGGTTACCATACACAGCTTTGTGTTTCCCATATATAGTATAAATTGTTACATTTGTACCATTTGATTTACAAAAGACCAAGACTACATTCAAGCATTACAATTTTAGAAATTCAACCTTGTAGTATTATTCCAAACGAAGAAATGACAATACGCAATACAAATTAAGTAATTGGTTAAGACTGCACTAATATATAATTTAGATCTAGGTTTATATGAAAATCCGTTATAAATGGACGCCGTGCACTAATAGACATACAACAGGTTGTTCTCTTTGGTACAGTTTTTTTTTATTTGAATTTTAACTTTTTTTAAAATCCCTTATATTGTCATCTATGCTTGTCTTTGAATATGGCTTGTTTTTATTTAAAAGGCACTCAAAATTTAAAGAATAACGCCATTCGATAAAATGTAGCTAGACCCAGCTAGAAACCAGTTAAGCCAGCCCTGAATCTACCAATCTCAACTGGTGGCTGTATTTTCCATGCGGTATTTTTACCTGGCTATTTTTAGCGATTTTCCGCTGTTGTCTCTCTCCAACTCGCTGCCCAAAAAAAGATTTCTCGCTTGCGCTTGCGCTAAATGCTTAATAAACCGTTTTAACCGTTAAACGCGAGTTCTTGAGCCCCACCAAACGTACACCGAGTGACTAGAAAACCAGAAGGAAAACTCCGGGAAAATGAAAGCCGAGGAATATCGGGGCTAGCAATCGCAGGCAGCAGGCCACCATTTTTAATTTCTTTGTTTATTTTGTGCCCATCTTCGCGAGCGAGTGAGACAGACAGAGCGCTAGAAAGAGAGAGCAGGAGGAGTTGGCTATGGAAATGGAAATGGGATTGGAATTGGAAATGGGCTCACAGCAGGGATAACGGACAAATTGCAGCGATGGCCAGCAGCGCCGGAAGTGCGGGATCCGGATCCGGTTCCATCGTCACCGGTGGAGGATCTTCCGCCTCCAGCGGTCCGCCCGTGAACCACGCCCACGCCGTCTGCGTCTGGGAGTTTGAGTCGCGTGGCGGCAAGTGGCTGCCCTATTCGCCGGCTGTGTCGCAGCATTTGGAAAGGGCCCACGCCAAGAAACTGACCCGCGTCATGTTGAGCGACGCAGATCCCAGCCTGGAGCAGTACTACGTCAACGTGCGCACCATGACGCAGGAATCGGAGGCGGAGTCGGCGGGGTCCGGACTCCTCACCATTGGCGTGCGCCGGATGTTCTATGCCCCCAGCTCGCCGGCGGGCAAGGGCACCAAGTGGGAGTGGTCCGGCGGCAGTGCCGACAGCAACAACGACTGGCGGCCCTACAACATGCACGTCCAGTGCATCATCGAGGACGCATGGGCCAGGGTGAGTTCTGGAGTTCGAAAGTCGTTTAACTTGCACTCTAATTGGAATTTGAGAAGCTCAAGAATTCGTGAGAGTTTAAAGGAAGATTTACCATGAAAATATGTAGATAATCTATAAAGACTGCGTTCCAAATCCTAATACAGTTTAAAAATGAGGATGGTCAAGTATTCGCGAGTGTTTAAAGATTACGAACTATTCTCCTTTGAGGTCTAGCATGAAAATATGTAGATAATCTATAAAGATTGCGTTCCAAAATCAGATACAGATACGAAATGGGGATGCTCAAGGAGTCTAGTTTGTAAGACATCTATTCTAACAGGATTAAAAAAAAAATTTCAAAATACAACTTATGTATTATTTTCCTCTAGCTGCAGTTCAAAGTGAACTGCAAAAGTTCTTATCACATATGTATAATATATGTACATTGTATATATCAACCACATTTTCGAAATCTAATTTTTCTACTTCCCCGCAGGGCGAACAAACCTTGGACTTGTGCAACACCCACATCGGCCTGCCGTACACCATCAACTTTTGCAATCTCACCCAGCTGCGCCAGCCCAGCGGGCCCATGCGCAGCATCCGGCGAACTCAGCAGGCGCCGTATCCCTTAGTGAAGCTGACGCCACAGCAAGCCAACCAACTCAAGTCGAGTTCCGCCAGCGGGAACAGCCAGTACAACACTCTGCCCAAACTGGGGGACACCAAGAGCCTGCACAGAGTGCCCATGACACGGCAGCAACATCCACTGCCCACCAGCCATCAAGTGCAGCAACAACAGCAGCATCAGCAGCAGCACCAGCAGCAACAGCAGCAGCAACAACTCCATCACCAGCAGCAGCATCAACATCAGATGCAGCACCATCAGATCCATCATCAGACGGCGCCGAGGAAGCCGCCTAAAAAGCACAGCGAGATCTCCACCACAAATCTGCGGCAGATACTCAACAATCTGAACATCTTCAGCAGCAGCACCAAGCACACGAACATGGCCACGGCGGCCAGTGCCAGTTCGTCCTCCTCGTCGGCCTCCCTGCACCACGCCAATCACCTGTCGCATGCCCACTTCTCGCACGCCAAGAACATGCTGACCGCCTCGATGAACAGCCATCACAGTCGCTGCTCCGAGGGATCGCTGCAATCGCAAAGGAGCAGCCGGATGGGCTCGCATCGCTCGAGATCGAGGACGCGGGCCTCGGACACGGATACGAACAGCGTTAAATCGCATCGGAGGAGACCCAGCGTGGACACAGTGTCCACTTACCTCAGCCACGAGAGCAAGGAGAGCCTACGCAGCAGGAATTTCGCCATTTCGGTCAATGATCTGCTGGACTGTTCACTTGGAAGCGATGAGGTTTTCGTACCCTCGCTGCCGCCATCGTCGCTGGGTGAAAGGGCTCCGGTGCCGCCACCATTGCCACTGCATCCGCGACAGCAACAGCAGCAGCAACAACAGCAGCAACAGCTGCAGATGCAACAGCAGCAGCAGCAGGCGCAGCAGCAACAGCAACAATCAATCGCCGGTTCGATTGTGGGCGTGGACCCGGCCAGCGATATGATTTCGCGATTTGTCAAGGTGGTGGAGCCACCGCTGTGGCCCAATGCCCAGCCCTGTCCCATGTGCATGGAGGAGCTGGTGCACTCCGCCCAGAATCCGGCCATCTCGCTGAGTCGCTGCCAGCACCTGATGCATTTGCAGTGCCTCAACGGAATGATAATTGCCCAGCAGAATGAAATGAACAAGGTAAGAAAGAGCGATTCCCTGAATCAGAAAGAGCAAGCAGCACTATCATTCGTATAACTCTCTGTTCCTTAGAACCTCTTCATCGAGTGCCCTGTATGCGGAATTGTTTACGGTGAGAAGGTGGGCAATCAGCCCATAGGCAGCATGTCCTGGAGCATTATCAGCAAGAATCTGCCAGGACACGAGGGACAGAACACCATACAAATTGTCTACGAGTGAGTGTGAATCTTTTTAAGTTTTGAATAGGTATTGATAAGCACTCTATTTCCTTAAAGCATTGCATCGGGCCTGCAGACGGAAGAACATCCGCATCCTGGTCGTGCCTTCTTCGCCGTGGGATTCCCACGGATCTGCTATTTGCCGGATTGCCCGTTGGGGCGAAAGGTGCTGCGCTTCCTGAAGATCGCCTTTGACCGTCGGCTGCTGTTCTCGATCGGACGATCGGTGACCACCGGACGCGAGGATGTGGTTATCTGGAACAGTGTGGATCACAAAACGCAGTTCAATATGTTTCCGGATCCCACCTATCTGCAGCGGACCATGCAGCAGCTGGTGCACCTGGGCGTGACGGATTAAGGGAGTTCCTTTCCCCAGAAGAACCAACCAATCACCCACCCACCGAAGCCCCTGAAAAGCATAAAAAAAACCTTCACCTTAATCATTCTCTTCCATTCGTTGATAAGTTACTTCCTACATAATCTCAGTGTGTGTGCAATCCTCGTTTACTATGATATATTTTTTTTATAGATATATTGTAATAGCGTTCAAGCTGCTCGAACCCTAAACAACAGCAAACCACAATTGCAATTGTAGCTTCCTTTCCGCTCTTCCAATTCGTATTTGTACGCACTTACCCAATAGAATACCGTACATCATATGTATTATCTAGCTAGTTAGATAGTTTTAGTGTTAGTCTACAAGAGAATCTTGACCCAAGACACCTACTAGTATTAGGCTTATCCTGATTCCTGATTCGATTCAAGCCACGCCACGCCATCCCTCAAACATTCGAGTGTAAGCTGTGCCAAAATCGTAGCGCTCCCGTTTAGGATATGTATATTGTTCATTTTAGGTAGCTTATAACCATCGCCCATCTCTCCATCCCTCTCGGTTTCGAATTTGTCTTTTTTTTTATTCTAGCCGTATATGCATACAACTTTAGATCGTAGATTGCTATAGGTTTAATCGTATTTACAGAGAGAGGGGATTGGGGATGGGCGTTTTCGATAGACTTGTCTCACTCGTCTTGGCCATTTAATCTCTTCCATTCAGCGAATTTGATGTGATTTTAATTTGAATTATTCATTATTAAACTGAGCCTGCTACGCATATAGGGAGCATAATTGTAAATCAGCCAGATATTCCATATATATACATATAAACATACATTTATCATACCGCATACCGCATACCACATACCATATACCATGTTTTTTTAATTGAATTTTTTGCACACATTTGATGAATTGTTGCTTTCATATTGATATCATCGAACATCGAACTATCGTATACATCGCCAATATATAGCATATATAGCATTTAGTATGTAGAGAAATCGTACAGACAGCTAGCGGTTATCATCCGCGTCACCATATTTGATATGATATGATTTTACTAAGTTGTATTTAGCACTGATTAGTTCTTAGTGTTCATTGCGAATATTCCACAACAAATTCCACACCATTAATATATGAATATTACATATATACAGTACATTTATACATAGTTCAAATAAAGTAACTTCATTCATGTTCAAATGGTTTTTTCGTTTTATAATCGGAATTTGAGGAAACAGCTGAAACAAATTCAAAATATCTTTGGTAACTTTTAAGCTATGCACTCTATATTTCGTCAACTTATATTTTAAATAATAATATATTTGCACAACAAGTTTCTTATCGATGGCTTACTAAATACTTGAATAAGGTGAAACTCCAATTGGGTGCTCTTTGGCGGGTTTTCTTTTTTGGATCGCCAGTTTCTCTGCAATGCAATGCAATTCAAATCAATCAGTTGACATTTTTGGGACTTCCAAGGTTCGTTTTCATTTTCGTTTCGTCGTTTAGCAGTTTTCGATTTCAGTTGCTGCCGTGAATCACTTAAAATAAATTAATAAAAGACAAAAAATCAGATGCATTTTTTGTCATTGTGCACACAGTGCGTGATGTTGGCGATGTTGGTGAAGTTGCTCCGGGCCATTTAAGGCGCAGCGGCAACATGTTGCAGACGTGTGTTGTCGTTGTTGTCGCCGTGTCGCCTCTTCAACTGCCTACGTGCTGACGTCAGACAGGCGCGCAAGGACAGTGTCCAAAAGTGGCCAATAAAACGTGGCTCAAACTGGCTTTCACTGCTCCTCCAAGGGCGGTCATCTTGCAACATCAGCAGCTGTTGCTGTTGCAAGGCGTTAGTTTGGCATTAGCAATATTTGTTTAAGTCCAACATGGGGCAGGATATTGGGTTAAGATAAAAATGTTAAGTAAAAAGTCATTTTCAGGGCTACAAATCGCTCAAGTTGTCGTTGGTCCAGTGCCAACTGCAGCAGCAACATTGGGCATTAGCAATATTGGGATAAGTCCAACATGTAGCAGGATTTTCGGATAAGATGAAAATGTTAAATCAAAAACCGTTTTCAGGGCTATAAATTGATAATGTTGTCGATTTGGGATAGCACCCACTCATGATGCTGCATTTGCTCATGTTGCTGCTGCAGGGTCTTCCTTTCGGTTCAATCTTTATATTTTTGGTAGGAACGATTGTATAGAATCTTAAAATTATTTAACAGAAGACCCTTTTATTGGTGTAGCAGCTTAAATTCACTAATATTGCTAATGTTGCAGATAGCTTTGCTAGCAATATGGCTGATAGTACTGCTTTTTCTGCTGCTGCTCCTGCTGATGCGGCTGTTTTCCTTGTGCCAGTTGCATAAGCAAATGTTTTCCTAGAATTTACAGCATTTCATGCAATCTTTATGCGACTGACAATGATCGCTGATCGTTGACATTCAACTCACGCACCCCGGCAGACAGAGAACGACAGATATATTTAAGATATGCGGGAGAAAGAGAGAGGTGCAAGTGCGTGTATTGATGATGAGATCGCTAATAAGGTGGTTTTGGCCAAAATGAAAAAGCCTGCTCCACTGACCCTGTGGCATTCGCCTTTTTTTGGCCTCAGCCTCGTCCCGGCCATTTTCATTTTTTGTGATAAACATTGGCGATAAGGCCATCCGATCTGGCCCTCTTTCTCCAGTTTTATATCTATCTTTACGAGAACATCTTTATCTTAAGCTCTATTGTCAAGCATATTATACTATCGCTTTCTCATTAAAAAAGTAAGCAGACAAGGAAATGTGTCCAAAAATCTGCTGTTTACTTTAACTTGATTATAATAACAGCAATTATTTTGGCAAAAAAATATGGATGGGTTTCTTATAAACCGAAATAGTAAAATCTGGCTCCACATAAGTATAAATTTGAAAAATTCCAATAGGACGCGAAATTTTTATTGGATTGCCACAGCAAACTCTCATAAGAAAAATATGCAAAGGGTTTGGCAGGCAATGACTTTTGTTCCTGTTTATGTTCTTTCCTTTTTTTTATTATTTTTTTTTTATTATTTTTTTATTCATGTTCCTGTATTTCCACTATGCCCCTCCCACTTGCACGCCCAGTGGTCATTAGTCATGCAAATGAGCAGGGATTATCAAGTTCTGGCGCTCTCTCGCGCGCTCTCACTTTCCTTATCTCTCAGGATCAGCTGAGGTAAGGAGATATACACTGAAAAAAAACCAACATATGCATAGTTTATACCCATTGGAATACCAATTCTTGAGCTACTACTGCCTAATAGATATCTGACCCTACAAAAACTTGTGTTCTCCCAAATCCCAGTCACATCCCAAAGCTCATATCGATATTCTTTGGAGTACCAAGGGATGAGGTTTTGGATATTTCGATTCTTGTAAGATTATGAAAGGCTACTACTGCTTTACCGATATCCTACCTTAGACAAAACTAAGGTTCTTCCAAGTCCCCCTCAGTAGGTTTCCTCAAGAATTCGCATCAGTATGGCGCCAGAAAGTAGGCCATGGTTTTCTTACCAACCAATTGGGAGTCATTATTTTGGAGTACCAACTGTTAGGGTTTTTTTGGAATAATATCCAAGTTATGGTAATTTTTCGAAACTTGAGTTCCGTTTTCCGAGTGTAGAGAGCGTTGCAATGGCAGTTGCGTCGACGCCGGCGTTTTGGGCGGCCGAGAGAGCCCGCGCCTAAATGCGGCAACAACAGCGGCTTGCAATCAGTCAAGAGCCTCCGCTCGTGCCAACCGCATCAGCCACGCCCCTCAGCCCTCCGCCCCTTTTTCTTGCCGCACAACCCGTACTTCGAACGTTCAAAAATTATCATTTTAAAGTGTTTTCAATTTTTTTTTGACTGTTTTGTGGTATTTGATATATGCCAGTGTTTATTTTCGATATATTTGTTTTAAGAACATATATTTTTTTGAATATCTGTATTTCATCGGCGCATGTGACATCAACAAGTAAATAAACCGCAAATCAATCAAACAATCGCAGAGTGGAAAAAAAGGCAGCGCCCGCGTTTTTAACCGCGCGCAAGTCGCTGACAACTTTTCGCCGGAGAGCCAGCCGCAACTTGATCTTTCCGTAAATTAAACTATTTACTGTTTAAACATTTGCCAAGTACACAAAAATACATACGTTTGTTGCTCGCTGTCGTCTCGTCTAAAATTACAAAAGCCTCGAAGTCGACGTCTCTCTGATAAAAAGCTGAACAAAACAGCAGCGGCAGCAACAGGTGAGCACAATTACTCAGGTTGTACAGATATGGATGGTGTTTAGAGGGTGGCCGAGACTTAAGATTGACTACAATGTTGGGGAGGAATTCTAACAGTTCTGCGGTGATTTCTGCGGTTTTCCTGCCGCCTGGCGCCATCTAGTGGCGTCTTATTTGGATATTACGCATACATGACACTAGTTCAATGGCTAAAGTCTATGAATCAGCATTGCGCAAGATTTTCCTGATATGCTTGTTTCTCAAGTTTTAAAGGTTTCTTCCTGAAATATTCATTTTAATCCAGCTCCATTTTGGTCATTGGTCAACAAATTTCTGTTCCGGAAAGTGTTGGGGATTGTTAGCATAGGTTTTCAGCTGCTCAAAACAGTAGGTATCTTAGCTATACGCCTTGATTTGGCCAAACTACGATGGAAAAACTGCAAAAAAGTTAATTTTGGTTGACAGAAATCCGAATCCCTATTTTCAGCCATAAAAAATTCACTCTTTTGGCTGGCATAATGCAACCACTAATCCGAATGAGGAATGTTATACCTCGTTGAGCTCGTAATTAAAATTCCAATCAACTGTCATTTAAACCTAGATTTTTTTTTCTTTTTCCATTTTTCGCAAAAAAAACATGATTACAAAAAATGCGAAAATTGGTCAAAAAATACATTTTCCTTGAAGTGATAGGGATCATTAGCATATCTAGCAAGCTGCTCAAAACAGTTGGTCTTTTAGCTGAAAAACCGAAAAAAAAAATCGAATTTTTGACAAAAATCTGAATCTCCATTTTTCACAAAAATTGTAACCCTATTTTTTGCCATAAAAACTCAGTTTTTTGGCTGCCATAATAAAAATATAAGTCAGAATGAGGAATGTCATATCTCGTTGAGCTCGTTGTTTAATTTCCAATCGATTGACATTCAAACCTGGAAATTTTTTATTTTTTCCATTTTTCGCAAAAATAGAAGATGTAACCCCTTACAAAAAATGCGAAAATTGGCCAAAAAATAAATTTTCCTTAAAGTGATAGTGATCGTTAGCATACCTAGCAAGCTGCTCAAAACAGTCGGTATTTTAGCTGTACGCCTTGAATTGGCTAAACTATGATTGAAAAACCGAAAAAAAATTCGCATTTTTAACAAAAATCTGAATATCGAATTTCACATAAATTTTAACCCTATTTTTTGCCATAAAAACTCAGTTTTTTGGCTGCCAAAATAAAAATAAAAGTCAGAACTAGGAATGTCATACCTCGTTGAGCTCGTTGTTTAATTTCCAATCCACTGGCACTCAAACCTGAAAATTCTTCATTTTTGCCATTTTTCGCAAAAATAGATGATGTAACCCCTTACAAAAAATGCGAAAATTGGTCAAAAAATAAATTTTCCTTTAAGTGATAGTGATCGTTAGCATATCTAGCAAGCTGCTCAAAACAGTCGGTCTTTTAGCTGTACGCCTTGATTTGGCTAAACTACGATTGAAAAACCGAAAAAAATATCGCATTTTTGTACAAAAATCGGAATCTTGCATTTTTTACAAAAATTTTAACCAAATTTTTTTGCCATAAAAATTCAGTTTTTTGGCTGTCAAAATAAATATTA